AGAAAAAAATAAGGTAATATATCACAATGTTTTGCTTGTTTGTGCTTGAGTGTTGAATTTCTTTTTATCTTCTAAGTCGTTGTAATTATATACTTCTGCATAACAAATAATCCTACAATTCAGTAGCTTAAAACAATAGCAATGATTTATTTTGCTCATTAGCATGCAATTTGAATAGGGCTGGCTCATCTCTTCCTCACGTGGCAATAGATGTGACCCAGTGAGGGCTGCAGGCTTTGTTTCCCAAATGGAACAATGTCAATGGCGGCCGTCAGCTGGGATTGCTGGTCCCCAGGGGATTCCGTTTCTCTGCAATGGACCTCTCCCTGGAGCTCCGTGGACGCCCTCCTAATGGCAGCTGGATCTCAAAAGCAAGTGTTTCAAGAGAGAGGAAGTAGACGCTACAACTCTTAAGGCCTGGATCTAGTAACTAGCACAGCACAAATCTATGGTATTTTACTGGTCAATTAATCCTGGAGCCTGCTCATATTTCAGAGGGATAAAACACTTCCTCCTCTTGATGGGAGGAGTGTCAAAAAACTTATGATTATCTTTAATACAATATTATGTCATCATTTCCCCAGTTTTCCTTTATGAGCACTATTATAAATGGCAACATGTAAAGAACCTTTAGAATGTTTTTATTGATATACAATTTTGAAGGCCAATAATACAGACTGATTTTTCAGAAAACTGCTTAAAATAGCAAATTCTCTGCTCTGGGCCCTCAAAGCCCCTTCTCCACCCACATACCACCAAATGCTGAGCCAACTCACACTGGTAACCAGCTCAGCATAATTTCTGCTATTTTCTATTTGAGACAGACAGACAGACTTACAGGAGCACACACACACACACACACACACACACACACACACACACACACACAAGATCTTCCTTTTACAGGCTCGTCTCTGGTCGGGTCTTAGTTCTTTGGTGAGAGCATTCACTGAAAAATAAGGACTGGTCATGGGGATTTGTGGTATGCCCCATCCTACCTATGCACTTTCCAAAGGGGTCTGTTAGTCATTGTCTCCTTTTCTGGCCTTCTCACACACAAGAAGACTGATAAAGGGATGAAGTACGTCATCTTCAAATGATAACTGATCCAGGCTCTGTGTATATACCTAGACCGGCACCTGGCTACACCTGGTTACCCTGTCTTCGACCACATCTTTGGCTGGTTATCACTGCAGGGTTCAGAGTTGCCCAGGATAATCACACTGATTCTTACAAAGCCTTTTCTCAAAGTGACTTGCCTTAAATCCGCTTAGATCATATATAGAAATGCCAACACCTGGATATGGCCTTTGTGTGATCATGAAGCTGATCTCTTGGTTTTGGGTTTTTTTTAATCATTTTATTGGGGGTTCGTACAACTCTTATCACAATCCATACATACATCCATTGTGTCAAGCACATTTGTACATTTGTTGTCTTGTGTTTTAGTGGAACAGAAAAATAAATATTAAGATCTGGCTTCAAAGCAACAAAATTAAGCAATGTAGATCAAATAGCGTGCAGTGTGGTAGAAATTTGAGCTTGTTTGGTTAGTTTGTGTATGTGGATGTATATGAGAGTTAGGTTAGGGTTTTCCAGTCTGAGTGGTCCGATTTTATTGAGTCCTCTTGTGAGATGAAAGAGCTGCTAGCCACACATAGCACCACCACCACCACCACCACCACCACAGCATTAAAGCTAGCAATCTCCACAAAACAATATACATGAACGAAAAGTATGCCGCCAAAATTGAGGGGCTTCACAGATAGCCTGGAAGGATAAGAAGCCCATGCTAGAGATACCACCAATCCAATAGGTCCTATGGCCCTCACAGTATCAGAACAGGAGGCGAGTGTCCAAGGAAGTCATGGTGGCTTAGCATTTGGTGGTTATGTTAGGAACAGCATAGATCACTCTTCACAATTCAGCCTCTTCCTCAAGCCATTGCAATGGGTAACTATGAATAAGCAAACCAGAGGCAAATTTTAGAACAGACTAAGCTCTGGTGGTGATGAGCCTCCTTCCCACCTGTGAAGCAGAAGCGCTTCTCCGATGTTACTGTCTTCACACCACTGCCTCGCCCTCCCAGTTTGCTCTCTGCTTTCCTCCCTCCGTCAAACACTTGATGGACGTTGATTTTTTTCTTGGGTCTAGAGGTTAGGTGTATCAATGTCGGTAAAATAAGGTTCCTCTCATATGTTCAGCATTCAACGAATATTTACTGAACCCAGTGATCTTTGTTACTACATTCTGCCTCCTCATGGGGGAAACATGCCTACACTGGTCCATAGTCCACACACAGGTATACACTGTGGAGGCAAGATAAAAGAAAGTGGTGGCCAGGTATGTAAGGAACTGTGGGAGCAGAGGATGAAACATTGACTTGTCCATCTGGGCGGGTGATGGCAAGCTGCTCAGGAACAATGGAACTGATCCTCATCACCAAAGAGGAATTTTCCCAGAAGACGAGGGAGGAAGAAAGGGAAAGGCACCAAGGGGCAGTCTACACAAAGGAACTCAGCACCTTCTAGTTGAATGTGCCTGGGCCTCAAAGGCATGTGCAGGTTAGCAGAAATTACAGCAAGGAGGACACGGAGAAGCTGAGCCCTGGGGGTCCTCAAATGGCACAATGATGAAAGAAAATGGGCATGGAGCCCCTAGAAATCTCTAAGCAGAAGCGTGGAATGATACAATTTTGGCTTCACAGAGCTAACACTGATGACCGGTTGGATGAAAGGCAGACTGGGTGAAACCAAATCCAAAGCAAAAAGATTGGTAGGAAGGAGGCTCTGGGTGGTCTTGATGAGGCACAACAGCAGCTCTGAACTCAAGCAGGGGCAGTGGGCATGGGGAAGAAGGGCAAACAGGAGCGATTCCGAGGAGGCATGGCAACTGATGCAGTGGGGTTGAGTGGGAATAAGGCGGTCCTCATACCACGAGTTCTGGGCTTCCTACTGAACAGTGGAAAAGCAGTTGCCCCAAGAGGAAAGACAAGGTTGTCTGGGCAAAGACAATGAGGCCTAAGGGCAGAGGAACAAGTAACTGGAGAGGTCTATTTAGCATTGAAACCACGACTCAAGAGAACCCACTGCTTGCCCACTACTGGTTCTGAAGTCCTCCCTTACCAAAAACAAGGTGAAAACTCCAATGGTGAAGTCTTGTGTCTCCCTGTTTGCTGGAGAAAAATGGATTTGTCATAAACTGCAGAATGAGCTTGAACATCTCATTCACGATGAGATGCCCAAGACGACAAGGACCACTTGGTGCTGTGGGTCACGATGAGAAAGTCATCTTCGTGCTGTTTGCCTTTCCCCTTACATCATAGCAGCCTTCGCCAAGACCACTGTGATCGAGATCTTAGTCCTCCCCCCTTCCACTGCTGTAATTTTTGGCTGTGCAAGACGAACACTTCCATATGGTGCAATGTTTATGTTAAGATGGGGGAAAATGTGAGATACTTTCAGTAAATTTTATCCAAGCAGCAATAAATTTACAAATCCTAAGCAGCTGGAACAAAATATTGGTCTGTAATTTATTTGGGATAAAATATTTCAATAGGAATAGGAAACTTGGGGCACTTTATTAATTACTGATATTTAGAGATTTTGGGGGGCGGTATCTTCACAGAGCCCACCTAGCTGTGACCTCAGACAGATTGACACCAGAAACCTCTTTTACCTCATCTGTAAAGTGGATCTAGCAATTTTACCTACTCGGATTTTTTTTGTGCGGGGAGGGGATAAAATGAGCATTGAATAATATCTGTCACATATCAAGCATTCAAAATGTCCATTATTCCATTTATTTTGTATTCCTTACAGGCTAAGATCCTAGGGAAGGGGATAGATGGGATTAGGAGGAAAAAAGACAATACAGTATAAGAACAAAGTTTGTAGGATCTACCTATGGAAGACTGGACACTGCCCTATCAGCATCTACATGAGCAAGACAGGCATTGGGGCTGTTGTTAAAAAAGAGAGAGAGAGAGTGTGTGTGTGTGTGTGTGTGTGTATGTGCACAAGCATGCACATGACGCTCGTAGAAGCAGGGACTTACTTTTTGAATCATCTTTCATTTTTATAGTGATTTAATTCACTAGGACAAACGAGAAGAAGACAGAAGGCGAGAGAAAATGCCATAACTTATCTCATGGGGACTATTGAACATGCAAAAATGGCCCGTGTCTATGTGAGATCAGGCCACAGCATTTTGTTTGCTTGACTCATACTGCTTTGGATAAACTGCCAACTTCTGTTGTACTTTTCTAGTTACAAAATGCACAAGGGCCTTTTGGAATCATTTTGAAGGCCTTCGACTTACATAGCTCTGTGCATTTACAAAGCATTTCTATCTCTTTCCAATTTAATCCTGATACAAACCTGGCAACGATAGATGGGCCCTACACTGAAACATGAACGGTCCAGTGTGCCAGGTAAAGTACAAAGTGCCATACAAGGAGTGGCTCACTAACCCTCACCCACGGCTATGCAGTAGGTACAGTTAGCACCTGAGGCTTGATGAGAGGCATTAAATAACTCCGTGTGGCAGGAAAGGGAAGAGCTGGGGTTTGAAGCCTAGCTATTTGTCTGACTGCAAAGCTTGTCCAAACTACTGCATTCTGCCGTGGAGCGATATTCAGACACATGTTCGTTCGTGCTTTTAGTTTGAACTCAGGCTAATGATTTACAGTTATGTAAACAACTGCTGTGAAATATACAAAAATATTAAACATTTTTATGTCTATTTCCATATTGCGTTCCCTGGAATTGCTGAGGGCAGATGCATATCTCTAAGTGTATTTCCCCTCATAAAGTTATTGGAACAAGCCCAATTGTCAAATATTTCCAAATACCTAAAATACTCAGTCATGGGCTAAGGATCTGTTTCTCGTTTGCTTGTAATAGAAGTTGCTCGTCATAGGTAAGAAAATGCAAATACGATTTTAGTGGAGGGTAGCTACTGATCTCGAGTGGTTCCAATAATATACAGGACAAAATCTGTTAATTAAAAAAATGTATTTACTTTACAAGCATCTTAAAAAATAACAACTGTCCCACATCTGTTCCCTTCAGCCTCTTCATGCAAAGAGCTCTCAAATGAGGTTCTTCAAATTTTACGTTTTTTCCATTCTGGTTCGTTCTTTGCTTCCTCATCATCAGATTCCACTTGGGCAAACATGGTTTTAGGCTGAGTTCTAAAAGAAAGGTTTAAAAAGAAGAAGAAAAATTTAGTCACCAAGGGTTTATCATATGGGGCTTAAAAAAAAAACAAAACCCAACTCCCATGAAAGCAAACTTGGAAGTATCCATTCTTATCTTTCACTCATCAAACGTCTAGCCCCACCCAGGGAGAACATGCAGCATAATGGAAATGCAATGACGTGCAGGAACACAGCCTGGAGTTTGCTGAAGATTCTCACTCAGTGGCTGAGGCTGTCCTTTCCTTAAATAAAATGAAGATGCACCACACTCGCTGGAGTTTCACACGTCAGGAACAACCCTTTCCCTCAAATTTAGGCTAACTGGGACCAGGCAAGGGTCTATATGATCTTGATTGAGGTCCCTCTGGGTGTCCCTAAAGTTGCCCAAATAAATAATGTGATGATAGTGCATACAAACAAGAAAGTTTGAGTTCATTTTCTTACTTAATGGATTTTAAATGATAACATAATTTGCATACTGCCAGAAAGAAAGGCGGGGGAACAAGACAAAGAAACATGTCACCTAGCATTTTAGGGTACCTCTCCGAGACCAGTGCTGTAATAATAAAACCTGTTTCTGAGGACTTTCTGGGTTTCACAAAAATACCTGGCCCAATGGCATTCCTCTCATACCATTCACAAAGAACTTATGTCCAAGAAATGTCCTGTGGTTATAATTTATGCCATTTTTAGCATAGCTAGCACTAATTCCTTCTTTTTAAAAGCCGTCATTATGAAGAAACATTAAATAGCTGAAAAGTATACAATATATAAAGTTAAAAACTTATGTCTTCAACTTAGAGTTCAATTCATTCGTGTCTAGACTCTTCCAGAATGGCAGAAATAGTGACAACAATCATTTCTTTCATCTGGCAAGGGAAAGCAGGTGATACTTTAGAATACTTCTTGCTGGTTTTGCTGTTTTATTATGATCCTAGGGAAGAATATAAACCATGTGTACCATTACCTGATGTTCTGACCCGAATCATGGACCTGGGTTTGTCATGTGTAAGTCACAATCCCTTCTCTCCATTACCTCACACCCCCATCCAGAGCTCATGCTCCCCCCAGACATAATCCAGTTGGTTAAACTTCTTGTTGTCACTTCAAGACACTGTTGTGACAGCTATAAACAGGTCACAGCGCTACAATTTCTCAGAGCAGCTGCAGGTTTTCCTATGCCACAAGAGCTGCTGCAATCACTAGAGAGCGGGGCCGCTGGTGTTTCCATGTGCTGCAACGGGACCATGCGTGCTAGGTATAGAACTTAATTTCTGGCCAAGATGTTGACCACACTGGTGTGGACAAATATGTAAAGGAACAATTTGTCTTATGTAAACATACTTTGGAAGTAGGTCTTTTATTTCTAAGGTAAGAAATTACATGGTCTTCCAAAAGATATTTGGCAATACTACTTCATAAGACATCAGCTCAGTATTACTGGTTCCACTCAGGCTAAATTACAGAAGTTGCAATGCTGTTTTTTTTCGGCTTGAGGCATAAAAAATGAATTAAAGAAGAGATCACAGGAAGAAAGTCTGGAGTTCAAAAAGCTTTTTCCTTTAGGAAGTCCCTTTTAGTATATATTCCACTTCTAAAAACATTTGTAGTAGGTGGATATCTAACATTATAGGGCACAGACTATGGGATTATTTTAAAATAGGTGCTGTCAAGTTGATTCTGACTCACAGCGACCCTGCGTACGACAGAACAAAACACTGCCAGCTGTGAGGCACCCTCACAATTGCTTTTGTTTGAGCCCATTGCTGCAGCCGCTGTACCACTCCACCTCCTCGTCAGGGCCTTCCTCTGTTTCACTTCCACTCCATTTTACCAAGCATGATCTCCTTGTCCTGGGACTAGTCTATCTTGACAGTATGTCCAAAATAAGTGAGACAAAGTCTCACCATCTTTGCCTCTAAGGAGCACTCTGGCTGTACTTCTTCCAAGACAGATTTGTTTGTCCTTTTAGCAGTCCATGGGACTTTCTATAGTCTTCACCAGCACCACAATTCAAATGCATCGATTCTGCTTCGGTCTTTCTTATTCAATTTCCGACTTTTATATGCATATGAAAATAGGTAGAAATAGAGTAATAGTTACAAATAAGTATGAGGAAATTTTTTACAGTAGTGGTGTGTGGTAGTTACACAATCTGTTGTCAATTTGATAAGAGCTGTAAGAGCCCCTAATAAAATGATTAAAAATAATAATAATAAAATTAAGATGCCATTAAAAAAAGATGAAGAAAACATCTCAAAACAAGAACCTCTAGTTGAGGAAAGATAAAAAATAGGAGCAAACTAGACCCAAAGATCCCAAGGAGGAGGAGGAGATTAGAGCAAAACTAATGAAACAGACAACAGAAGAACAACAGAAAAAAAACAACAAAGCAAAAAGTGAAGTTTTAGAAAAGATCAATAAGATCAACAAACTGGCTAGACTGACAAAGGGAAAAAAAAGAGAAGATACACATAACTGAAATCAGAAATGGGAGTGGGGAAATTATTCTCAGCCTTATATAAATAAAAATAATTAGTGTATATACTCATGTATAAGCCCAGTTTTTCCGCACATTTTAAATGCAATTTTTGTAGTAAAATTAGGTGCCTCCGCTGATATTTGGGTCGACTTATACTCGAGTACATAAGGTACAACAAAATATATGTACACTTGTTTGCCAATAAACCAGATAGACTAGATGAAATAAGGAAACTCCCATAAATTCATAAACTACCTAAACTGATTCAAGAAGATGTGGGTCATTTCAACAGACCTACAACCAACACATGAGAGCCCTAGTGACACTGGACTCTATTGTGGACTGTTAACCACAGGGTCAGCACTTTAAAACCCCAGCTGCGAGGGAGAAAGATGAAGCTTTCTACTGCTGCAGAGTTACAGTCTCAGAAACCACCAAGTTTCTACTCCATCCTGTAGGGTCAATATAAGTCAGAATTGACTCAGTGGCTGTGAGTTTGGGGTTATTTTTGGTTTTTGTTATAACACGCGAAGGGATTTTAACAAGCTAATCAGTAATCAAAACCTCTCAACAAATTAAAGTCCAGGCCTATGATTGCTCTGCCCATGAATTCTATTAGCCACCAGAAGAAGACCTAAGACCAATCCTTTTCAAATTCTTCCAAAAAAATTCAAGAGAATCGAACATTTCCTAATTCATCCTAGGAGGTTAACACTACCCTGATACCAAAGCCCTATACCACGGGGAAAAAATGACACACCAATATCCTTTAAAAATATACATACAAAAGGGAACCGATGCCAAGGAGGCCATGTAGAAAAACAATGTTTGGAAACGGACTGTGGTAGCAATTGTACATCCTACATGACACGAGTGAAATTTGGAATGATATATGGAAAAACCCCAACTAACAAAAATATATGTCCACATAAATTCAAAAATCCTCAACATACTAAAAATCCAAATTAAAAAGGATTACATACTATATGTGTAAATTAATTCAAAATGAGTTGAGCTAAATATAACAACTAAAACCATAAAATTCTAAGAAGAAAACATAGGAGTAAAGCTTTAAGACTGTGTTGTTGTTTTAATTCCTAGATAGGACACCAGAAACCTTAATTAAAAAAATTGAGCTTATAAAAATTAAAATTTTTGTGCATCACTGACTTTATCAAGAAAGTGAAGAGACAACCTACAGAAGAAATATTTGTTAACCATATATTTTACAAGACTGAACATTCAGAGTATGGACAAACCTTCCACAATTTAACAACAAAAAGACAAACCAATCACAAAACGGCCAAAGGTTTTGAAGACATTTATCAAAGAAGACATACAAATCCTCAATACACACATGAAAAGATACTTGCAAGTCATTAAAAGTACAAACCAGCACTGCCATTGGGGCAATTCCAACTCAGAATGACCTTAGGACAGAATACAACTGCCCTTCAGGGTTTCCAAGGATATAAATCTTGATTGAAATAGGCTGCCATAGCTCTCTCGTGGAACAGCTGGTGGGTTCAAACCTTGGAGCTCTTGGTTAGCAGTGGAGAGCTTCCAGTGCTGCACCACCACGCCTCCTAGCTATTGCTTTGGGGGTGCTAATTTGTTTGGGGTGATGAAAACCTAATTCTTAGGGACTGGGGATGGAAGGTGAATGGAAATGTCACTCACAGAAGGAACTTTATATTTCAATCCATCCTCAAAACTGATGTTCCTGTACACAGTACAGAACCGTTCAGCAGAGCTGGATGCTGTTTGCTAAGTGAGGGTCAGCTCCCTGCACTTCAGCACAGTGGACATCTCATTGAGCCTGGAGTGCCAGAGTTTTGTAGGAGCCCAGTGACGGCATCACAGCTGGCCCGCTGGCAGCCACTCTTACTTTTCAGCACTCATTATCTCTGGGTTTATTTCCAGCAGGTGTTCTTTGGAAGAAGGTTGGAAATGTAAGATGTTTTTTAAGTCAATTCATACACATCTAGGGCATTTTCAACAGACTTTTTTACTTAGTCACCACTTTATGAAGATAACGAGGGGCAGGGATGATTAGGCAACCTGTACCAAGAAGAGTCCTGGTTGCGCGGTGGGTTAAGAGTTGAGCTGGTCCACAGGACAGTATAGCACGGACAAAACACAAGATATTCCTCTCGTTCTTTAGTGCTTCAACTCCCCCCACTATCATGGCCCCAGTTCTACCTTACAAATCCAGCTAGACCAGAGCATGTACACTGGTACTGATAAGAGCTCTCGACACGGGGAATTCAGGACATATAAACCCCTCAGGACCAATGAGAGTAGCGATATCAGGAGGGTAGGGGGAAGGTGTGGGGAGAAGGGGGAGAAATGGGGAACGGATTGCCATGATCCACATAGCCCAGCCCACTAGGGGAGACAAACAACAGAAAAGTAGATGAAGGGAGACAGCAGATGGTGTAAAACATGCAAACAAAAATATCTTATAAATTATCAAGGGTTCATGAGGGTGTGAGGGTGAGGAAAAAGAGGA